TATATATATATATATATATATATACATATCAAATTTGTTTAATAGAGTTGTGTGTTTAGTTACTGATTTTCATCTTGTGTCCTAGGATACAGGGGTTGGAAAGTCAAGTATCGTGTGGAGGTTTGTGGAGGATAGTTTTGATCCCAATATTAATCCCACAATTGGGTAAGCCTACTGCAAAACACACTCACAGTGAGGTCAAGCAGACTGTGATGCAGGTTTTTCTTATTTCTAACGTGCAAGTTTTAAAGGATTGCCACATAGCAAACACAGCAAGCGGTGACATGCAGTGAAATGGAAGCAAGCAAACAAAATTGTTACTTAGTGTGTTGAAATTTCCTTAGGATTAGTGTCAGAAAGCACTGTGTCAAAAAAAAAAAAAACTTGATGGATTATTTGTTTTAATAATAATAATATTATTAATGATTCAATATCTTAAGAAAACAAAATCTGTAAATCAGCATCTTGAACTAGTTACACTAGCTGCAATGTTGGTGCTGATTAGTCTGAATGTAATACAGATACACATTGCTTTGTAAGTGATTTAATATGCAGCATTGATTGTATAATACATGTTGCATCACAGTGTGTTAAAGATTTAAACTGTGACCCCTTTTAATTGAGTTACTTAAATGTGAATTCAATTGACACACATTTCAGGGCTCAACAATAAAGACTTTTCTGCTGTCCCAGTCAGGCCAGTCATTCAGATTTGTGCCCAACAAAAGATGATAATATTGCTAAAAAATAATGATAAAAAAATAATACATTAAAATAAATGTTAAAATAACTAACATTTAAAAAAAATTAAAATACCTTTGTCTTATATTTTTCATTAAACCTTTGTTTGCTAGAGAAAAGTATTACAATTAATTCATTAGGTTTGTAAGGTTTTTAATTTGCAATAATAGCTGTAAATTATGCATCTACTATTCAACAACTATGATCCCATGAACACTTTTGCTAGAAAAAAAACTGGCATATGGTTATTCATATACCAATTCTAATCGATGCTTGCAAGACACAAAATTCATTCTCATAATAATTTACAACTACATTCAATACATAACAGAAAACCTAGTTTTTAAGCTTGCAGGGGCAAAACAACAAATGTAAAGAACGTGAGGCAATGACAAACAACAGGCAATCCTTATTATGGAGCCTTACATGTCTTGTGTTTTTTTTGTGTGTGTGTGTATTTGCACCTGGCAAAACACTTGTAAACCTTGTAAAGACGTCTATAAGTATGTAAGATTGTGTGGGGGGCAGTCTGGATTTAAATATGTAAATGTAATAAACAAAGCTGAGAGTCTTACTGGCAAATTTTTATGAACAAGATCAGCAGATGTCTCAGATTCCATGCAGATCTATTTGTATTTGTATGCTTAATGTTATTATTGATCGTGCCAATTTTATTTTCAGAGCATCGTTTATGACAAAGACTGTGCAGTACCAAAATGAGCTTCACAAATTCCTCATCTGGGACACAGCAGGACAAGAAAGGGTAAACAGTAACAATCACAACACACACTGGGGTGACACATACACAAGCTGACAGCCATTAAATACAATGTTTACTCTGTTTCACTTCTGTTTTTGCAGAACTATGTCTTCATAGTTCAGACAGGGGGCAGTATTGCATGCGCTTCTCTTGTATGCACGCAAGTATTTGAGGGAGAGAGGGGTTAATGTCATTGGAAGGGGATGGTCTTCTCATGTATCTCTATAGGCTCTATATCTTTATGATCTTCTCTCCCAAAACACTCTACGTTAGGCAAGACAGCTGAAGAGTAGGGCTGACATCACATAGTTTGAGATGTTTATCACCGCTGATGATTTGACGGCAATCTTGAGGCTGTTTGCAATATGATCTGTGATGTTATGTGATACTAAATCTAGAATGCCAAGCGGCCCACACAAGCTGCTAGGGAAAAAAAATAGTATCATACCAGGTGTTAAGGAATTGCTTCTCTCTTTTTATGCAACTTTTATGACAATCTGGGACTTTTATTTACATGTTAAGCAGGAAAATAGAAAAAAAGTTTTTGAATTGTGATGAATTTAAAACACAAAAAAAGTTCAGAATTCGACTGAAAAATAAATATTTTGCGCTATTTTCTAGGTCAAATGTAACAAAATTGTGTTTCTTTACATGTTAAATCCTTTGTACAAAAGATAGACATGGCCTTATGTTCACAATTTTCACTCAAATTGTTTTGATGGTAATATTATAAAAAAAAATTTTTTTATTAAATTAGAAAAATGCAAAATAGTAGTAATGGTCTTGAATGTTTGAATCCCTCTCCATATGAAAGAATATAGGAAAGTCTGATTTATCCAGCCTCTTTACCCTCATCTGGTCCTGTTTAGCGCTTTGATGTATTCCCACCGGTAAATATGGTGCAAGTTTATCATCGTGGCCTTTGAGTGGTTAAAGAGGTCCGGCTTTCTTTGCTTTGCTTTGTTCAGGATGCTCCAGAGCCTGATGGGATGAAATGCTAGGCCATGTCAGAGATAGCGGTTTCAGAATAGCAATCAAAGCCACAATCTCTCTCTCTCTCTCTCTCTCTCTCTTCCTCCCTCTTAGTGTCTTTCTTCTTTCTTTTCTAACTTCAAGCTCTGTTGTGACTTTGTGAAGAGAAGACAGATTCCTGTACTCCAGTGGGAGTTGTGATCAGGCTTTTCACTGGCTGTCAAGCTCTTGATTAGACAATTATCCGACACAGTGCTTTTTAGAACAGCATTGTGGAAACATGACTTGTTTTGTACTCTTTGCTTTCTGCTTTAGTGGTTTTGTGGGTGCATTAAATTGATCAAAAGTGACAGAAAAGACTTTACATTGTTGAAAAAATCTAATAAATGCTGTTTATTGAACTTTCTGTTCATCGAAGAATCATGGGAAAAACGCAAAGAGCACAACTGTTTTCAACAGTGATAACAATAAGAAATCAAGAATTTTTTTTAGCAGTAAATCGGTATATTAGAATGATTTCTGAAGGATCATGTGACACTAAAGACTGGAGTAATGATGCTGAAAATTCGGCTTTGCATCACAGGAATAAATTACATTTCAAAATATATTGAAATAGAAAACAGGTGTTTTAAATTGTATCAATATTTCACAATGTAACTGTTTATTACTGTATTTTTGGTCAAATAGTTGCAGCCTTGATGAGCACAGGAGACGTCTTTTAAAAAATACTTTTTTCAAAAACATATTTTCATAAGAAAATAGCCAAAAAGAAAAATTGCATATAGCTAGGAAAGCGATTTCATGAGGTCTTTAAAACTGACAAATCGACTTGATGGCAAGAGAAATTTGAAGAGGTAGTGACTGAAGTTGGATGAGAGAAAATGCAGGAGTAGGGTTTGGAGAGGGATCACAATCCTGCAATTTTAGACAAAAGCTAAACTGAAGCATTTCCACTTCCTTATGCAGTGGACTTTGCCAAAAACAGCTATAAATGTGAGAAACCATGTCAGTCAAACTTGATTTATTCATTTTATTGGTGAAAAAGATGGATTAAGCAGAGTTCTGACCTGTTTTCTTAACTTAAATCCAATTTATATTGGATTTATACAGCGTTTTCATAAATTAAATAATAAACTTTGCATGGTGTCAAATGAATCTGTAGAATAGATATTAATAAATATTATCTTAAGTGATCTCACTTAGTACTGATGCATTGATCAGCAAAACCAGTTAAGAACTACAGGTTTAGGTTCCAATTGGTTTTGGATATTATTTGTAAATTATGTATGTTTATGCGTATTGCTTTATTGACTTTTATTGATGAAAATTAGCAGTTCATAAAACATTCTGTTAATGAGCAAAAATATATTACTGTGCACCAGTTTGCAGCTTATAACTGTTAATTTTCTCAATAATTTGCCAAAACTGTAAATTTGGAAAAAAAAAAAAAGTTTAAACTGTGTATTTAATTTTAAGACTATCTCACACCTAAACTTAAAGGTGGGGTAAGTGATTTCTGGTAGCCAATGTTGATATTTCAAATCACCAAAACAAACACGCCCCTACCCAAAAGGGTCTCGCCCCTATTTTGATAGCTCCGCCCCACACATACGTACGCAACCCAGGCAACAATTAGTTCTGTGAAACAAAGCAAAACCAATGTTACACCGTGTCTACACCGGACGCGAGCGGAGCGGCGTTCTATTTATGACATTGACACAAATTTCAAATGATTTTCAACGGTCGCTTAATCGCGTCCTGTGTAGACAGACTTTAGCTGTTGCGGCGCCGGTGTAGACATGGTGTTTCTCATCTATCAAGAAGAAACAAAGCAACCTCGGCGTCCGATCGCAGGCCTTCCACTCCTTGAGTTCTCTCCAGCGCTGGAAAGCTGATCCAAAATTTACGCGGGTCCTACTTTTTGCCTTATCGTAAGCCTTCTTTTGTTCCGCAGA